CCTGTGTCCTGGATTCTGGTTTGCTGGTTTTTGCAGTGTAAGAAATATAACAGTATATACAATTAGTACTATCTATATCAAAAATTGTGATAGCATAGAATAAGAAATAAGAATAAGGTGTATATGATAATATAAAACACAGGGTGAATAAATAATGGTATACCAAATACATAAGTATATGTATATACATAAAATAACATAGTAAAGCAATATATGAAAAATATAATGCTATATGCACATCTTTATGCTTTACAAGATAATATATATAACAATATGGAATGCTCAAAAAGTATGTAACAATATTCAGTGCATATGATAATATATAGCAATGTATGAAACAAAAAAGTATAAGACTATTAACTTAATATATAACAGTATATATATATATATGTATGATATACGGTCATATATAGAAACAAACATAGCTATATATATATATATATATATGTATATGTATTTGTTTTGGAATCGTATTGGTTAACATTACTGATGGACGAAAGCAGTACGACAGAGTATGAAACATCAGAGCGGGTTTGCTCGACATGCGTGTGTATTTAGGCTGTCACTGTACACATGCTCATGTGTATCAGCGGGCATGATGCCTTTGAAGCACGCCATGTGGGATGTAGTCCGGTAGTTTGCCCCTCCCTCCCCGCAGAGGAAGATGCACTGCGCTTGCGGATGTTGTTACTTGGAAGATCATGGGACTTAGTAAGTAAGATTATAAGTACCCTAATTGGGAGTATAATGGGTTATAAAGCATGGTTACCTTGTTTATAACCCCAGCTACTAAGTCCCATGAACCCTAAACCCTAAACCCTAGACCCCAGTTACTAAGTCCCATGAACCTTTAAGTAGAGCTCTTTGACTTGTTTGTGGCCTGTCAGCTTGAAGCTCGCTCGTGTTTGCTGACTACTGCGGGCTCTTTTGCATTTGTGACAGGGGCGAGTCGGGTAAATCTCAGTCCGAGTAGAGGGGCTAGGCCAAGAAACGGCTTTGCTTTGCCGGTCAGTCTCTCGCCAACTTTTGCTGAACGCCTTTTTTGGCCAGTCTGCGAGCTTGCAGAGGCAGGGTTGCAGATTTATGCGTCTCCTGCCATAACAGGGGCCCTTCATTCAGTACACACTGCCCCACGAACAACTTTGCAGGCTCAAATTTTGCCACATACTCGTGTGAAAAATACGGTGTATGATGTTTAGCATACATATATATATATATATACACACACATACATATAAATGATAAACTGCCAACACTCGGGACAGGCTGAGCCGCCGACAAGCGTGACCCTGCGTGAGTCCACCGTCGAGCGCCACTTTGGATCCTGCTCGTTTGCCGGCGGAACCGGGATGTCGTCCCGTCCGCATTCACTGCTGGGGTGGAGCCACGTGCCACGGTCGGCATTGACGCCGAAGACTGGTTCATCTCCGAACCAGACGGTCGCAGTGCCTGGACGTCGGGAGCTGACACAAGGTTGGTTGAGGCTCAAGCTGTATGACTTCGCATCTCCCCTGGTCTCCAGGCCTACATGAGGGCATGCGCAGGCTTTCCACTGGCCAGCTTCTGAGGTTTTAATGTCTTGAAAGCTGCCGAGAAGCTTCCGTTCTGCCTGACTTCCTCCATGACAGCATCATAGGCTTCGCCGCCCGGCACTGAGGCACCGGTAGCGGGGAACTTCCTCCGCATGGTCTGGAAGAGGCTGTAGTCGTCGTAGTACGTGAAAACCAAGCCAGTCCCCGCTGCTTTCTTGCACTTTTCCAAGAAGGCCTAGGTTCCCCAGTAGCCCGGTTTAGGGTTTAGGGTTTAGGCCCTTAATGATAAGGGTACCCTTTATCTAAACCCTAAACCCTAAACCCTAAACCCTAAACCCTAAACCCTAAACCCTTTCCTACTATCGGGTTTTAATAGAGAGAAAAAAGGCAAAAGGGTACTGTTGGGGACGCTAGAGGCAGCATCTTCCAGGAGCTTCCTTAAGGACGAAATGAACTTTAAAAGGCTTTCAGGTTCATATACCATATAGGGATTCATAGTAGAAGGGTATAGGGTCCCTACTTAAGCCCTAAACCCTAAACCCTAAACCCTAAACCCTACTTGTAAGGGTCCCTACTTAAACCCTAAACCCTAAA